CCACACACACTCCCCCATACCCCTGACATACCACATATGAAACACAAATCACACACAGAGCGTACGATATGCACAACACACACAAATGCATCACACAATTGCACAATTACTCTGTGTACATGTAGTGTGTATGTGGCATCCACACTACATGTCAGGCAGCACACACACTCCCTCTCAACACATCAGACATGCAACACGGGGCAAGATTTCTAGGGTACACAACCTATACAAATGGAGTGAGGGCTCTGCTCTTGTGTTCCCCTTTTCATTCATGCATGCATGCATTCATTCAATAAATATTTATTGAGGCTGGGGCTTGGTGGCTCATGCTTCTACTTCCAGCACTTTGGGAGGCCAAGGAGGGAGGATAACCTGAGCCCAGGAGTTCAAGACCAGCCTGGGCAACATAGTGAGACCATATCTCTACAAACATACAAAAATCAGCCAGACATGCTGGTGTACACCTGTAGTCCCAGGTACTGGGGAGGCTGAGTTGGGAGGGTTGCTTGAGTCCAGGAGATGGAGGCTGTAGGGAACTGCAGTGAACTATGATTGCACCACTGTACTCCAGCATAGGTGAGAGCAAGACTCTGTTTCTAAAAAAATAAAAAAAAGTAAATCAATTATTGGGCATGTACTATATGCCATGTAGTTGGTGGAGACATAGCAGGAGATACAACAAATACTTCCCTATCTGTGTGGCAAATATTAAACTTGCAATAAACCTTGCAAAGACAAAGATAAAATTTGTAGAGATGTCAAAAATAAACATATAATTGCAAGTCACATCCATTTCTCTTTCTCTGCTATTCCTGCTCTCTGCTTCCCTCTTCTGCTTCTCCCTTCTCCGTCACAGACACTCCAACATCCCTCTGTAGTCACTGAGAGATAACCCTGGTTCCTTCCCGTCTTCCTCCTCCTCCCCAGTGTGTTACAGCTGATTTGTACAGTCCTGGAAAGAGCAATGGTTAAATAGCTAGGAATTTCATCAGCCCGGTTGGTAAACTGTTGGTAGCTTAAAATCAGACATGCTATGAGTATTGACACCAGAGAAATAGGCCAACACTACGAGGCAGAATTTGTGGGTATTGTTTTTCTGTGAGTTTTTCAGCACACCACTGCTCTGCCATTGGCTTCCAGCAAATAGATGTTGCATTTTTCAAATATATCCTAATTCTTTCATAGATATTCAGTCTGCACTCCACCTCTGGCCAAGTCTTTCCTGATGGTGGGAAGTTGGGGACTTGAGTCCTATATTGTACTGTGAGGGTAGAGAATAGAAGAGAAAGCATGAGAGAAAAGCATGAAAAGGAGAATCAAAAGAAAAGCAATATGGGAAGGAAAGAGAAAGAACAGAGAAGTGGGAAGCCAGTGGAGGGTAGAAACTAGGCTGAAAGACATGGGGAGAAGCCGATGGCCACTGCACAGCGTCCCCAGAGGTAGTTGGGTCATTTCCCCATCTGGGGTACAGAGGTGGCCAGGGAGCCCATGAGAAATGAGGAAACTGCCTTCCCAAACTACTGGAGAACCAGGGTGGGGGTGGCGATCCACACAGCTGGCCTGAGGAGGAAAGAGGGCTGGGAGTCTGGACCAGGGGGACCCTAGGGTCAAGATGCCACAGTTTCTAATCGTGGAGGGCCTGGGGATTGGGACTTCTGGGTCTGAGGGAGGAGGGACTGGGGTCCTGGACTCCTGGGTCTGAGGGAGGAGGGACAGGGGGCTTGGACTCCTGGGTCTGAGGGAGGAGGGGCTGGGGGTCTGGACCACTGGGTCTGAATCCCTGGGTCTGAAGGAGGAGGGGCTGAGGGGCTGGGGGTCCTGGACCCTCCATCTGAGGGAGGACGGGCTGGGGGCCTGGATCCGAAGGTGTGAGGGAGAAAGGGGGTCCCTGATAGACCGGTGGGGCAGTCGAGACTTGGGGTGGGGCCCAGGCCTCCATTTAGCAAGGCCCTCCCCTCCCCACCCTTTCCTGGGCTGGCTCCTTAAGGGCTGGTATAAAGGACTTATTTCCTGGTGAAAAAGCAGAAAGAGATTACCAGCCACAGACGGGTGATGAGCCCGGTGTTACTGCTGGCCCTCCTGGGGGTCACCTTCCCACTGCCAGGTGAGTGATGACCCTAGCCTAGAAGGAACCTCCCTGAAGGCCGGGCAAGGGAACCCTGCTGAGATGGATTTACTCTTGCCACTCCAGGAGTGCAGGAACTGCTCTGCCAGCTTGGGACACTTAAGGAGGTGTGGAATGTGTCCCAGCTACCCGTGCACTGGACCCCTAAGGAGATCAGCTGTGACAGCGGCTTGGGGTGCCAGGACACCATGGTGCTCATTGAGAGCGGTGAGAAGGCCCTGGGGTGCAGAGACCCCGCCCTGTTCCCTCAGTCCCTCGATCCCTGTGCAGTGACTTGGGAGCCACCCCTCTGGGAGGAGCGACTCCTAGGGTCCCGGTGATCCCCTTTCCAGCCTCTCAGCCTACCCAATGTAGCAGCGTCTCCCTCCAGGACCCTGGAGGCCTGACCTCCATCCTCGCTTGCCTCCCTCTCTCGGTCCAGGACCCCAAGTGAGCTTGGTGCTCTCCAAGGGCTGCACAGAGGCCAAGGACCAGGAGCCCCGCATCACTGAGCACCGGATGGGCCCCGGCCTCTCCGTGCTCTCCTACACCTATGTGTGCCGCCACAAGGACTTCTGCAACAACCTAGTGACCACTGCCCCGCTTTGGACCCCGCAGCCCCCAGCAGGTGCCTGCCTGAGGGTCGGAGGAGAGGGAGGGGCTGTCAGGAGAGGTTCCGGTGAGCACAGAGGGGCTGCTATGGAGTCCCTCCCACCTTCGCTGGCTGTCCTGCCCCTCGCTGGCTCCATCCCTCCCCTGACTGCTCCCTGGCCACCCCCCCCATCCGTTTTCCTTTCCCTCCCTCTCCACTCAATCCTGATCCCTCCCACCCACCTCTGCCACCCAGGACTCCCCGCACCCCTCCTCTTCTAAGAGCAAACAGGACGGGTTTCTGATAAGAAATCATTAACTGGGTCATCCTGCATTCATTTTTTTGTTTTTTGTTTTTATTCTGTTGCGTTTGGTTCAAGGAGTTCTCCTGCAGGTTTTTTGCTATTTCCTCTTCCTGAGGGAGACTGAATTGAAACTTTCCACTTTCCTTGTCTGGTGTTATAAAGAGTCTGGGGAGATGTTTGCACTTCTTTTTTTGGAATAGCTTGTGAACACAGAAGTCTCCTGTTCTTGGAGGTTTAGCAGCCCTTGCAGGTGAAGGCACTGGCTCGTTCCAGGTCATCCCCTCCTTCCCTTGACCAATGAGTCTGCTTCTGTGTCTCCCCTCAGAAGGCCAGACTTTGTTGAAAGGTTCAGACTTGACCATATCTGAGTCTATATCAGGCCTCAGCAGGCCCCTCCTCCAC